GCACTCACGTATTTCGGCCTCTCTCTTCTTATTGAGGCAAATACATCTCGCTTCCTTCTTCAGTTCCGCAGCGTGACCCTATAGGCGGCTTCATTTTTCTCTGCGGCTTCTTGAAATTCCTCATCGTACCAGTCGTTCTTTCGGGCTCGCTGAAATCCAACTACTTCTTCGGCGGCGGTACTTAATGATCGGGAAACGTGGTTCCACTGCTCGCGTATGTCGGATTGTTGAAGAGTGCTCTCAGAGAGCAGGTGTGTGAGTCGAGTGGCGAATAAATTGGCCGTCTGTTGTGATTGCAGCTTTTCGACGTTAAGAGATCCAGTGCAAAAAACGGGATGGCGTATCAACCGTTACCTACAACCACCAATTTAACGGCGACGAGATCGGAACGTATTTCGAGGCCTGCCAGGGTTTTAACGGGACGGAGGGGGTCACGGCATTACCCCAAAAGCCATTTTTGTAGGGTGTTACCCCTACACACTCAGGTAACAGGTTAAATGTAACAAATACAGATGGCAATAAAAATAGGATTCAAAAACATTAATCTACATAAATAAAACTCCGCTTGAAATGAACAAAGTGTTTACTACTTTCTTAAAAATTGAAACCAGTTCTTGCATTTATACTGTTATTTCAGTATAAATTTTTTTTTCATTTGGCACATTTGATCAGGTTATAAAGTCCATACATACATATATACACTGGTGGCCCGATAATTATAAACGATTTGTTTTTATAAGTTTTGACCATTTATTTTTATTCATTACTTTTAATTTGTTTTTGTTTTTTTAAGAAAATATAGTTCATGCTACAACTATATAACTCAAAGTTTCATACTTTGTACAAGAATGATAATAATTCGACAAAGTTCAAAAATGATCATCAAAACTTCAAACTCTTTAATAAGAATCTTTAGAACTCAAGTTGCAGTTTGATGATCATTTTTTGAACTTTGTCGAATTATTATCACTCTTGAACAGAGTTTAAAACTTTGGGTTATATAGTTTTCGTTGTAGCATGAACTATATTTTCTTAACAAAAATAAATTTAAATTAATAAATAAAAATAAGTGGTCAAATCTTGTAGAACCAAATCGGTTCAAATTATCGGACCACCAGTGTACATATATTTATGTACATATATACATTTAAGTACACTGGCTAATTCTAGAGCTACTTAAATCTAAATTATGCATTTTATTTGCAACACAAGTAATTGTTAAAAAACTAAATAAAAATTTACTCGCTGAAGGGGACCTCAAACAGACCGTTGCTATACGATGCATGCGATATGAATGGCTTTTCCACTTTAGGGTTGCAGATTTTTGATTTTTTGTCACCTAAGAAAGCTTGCTACACAACGAGAGAGGTATCGCTGTGCATCGTATCGCACCAGTTTCAGTTTTCTTTTGTTCGTTATCGCATCAAATACGATACCGTATCGCATTGGTAATATCGCATTTGTTTGAGGCCACCTGAAATCATAACAAAAAAAAATAAGCATTCAATTGCAAACTAAATATTTCTTAAAATCCTGAAAAAGCAAGTATTAGATTAAATCTTCTGAGAAAACACTTGCGTTGCTTACAGCTATCTCTTGAAAGTTTAAAATCACTTCCTGTATGGCCACCTTAAATTCTTTGGCCAGGAGTGGATTTTCGATATCCAGGCCCCGTCCACTTGCCGAAACAAATGCTCCCAAATTATTCCATTTGTCTGTTTTCGATGCTGAAGTTACTGTTTGCAAAGCACTTTCGATGGTCTTAGCAAAATCGGCGTCTTCTTTTCCCATGCGTCGCCGCTTTGCCTAAGGAGTTGGTGTTGTTTTGGATGTTTACGGCGTCGATTACAAGTCATCCGTTTCCAATTACTCGAATTCATACACGATATCCGTTGGCTGTAAAATTAAAATAATACGTATATACATATAAGCGATTTAGCCTTAAAAGCTTTGATGAAAAGTCGTGTCAGTGCAATTGGTATTTTGTATTAATTGTTATTATATTTACATATGTAATTATATCGATAGTACTCCGCAATAACGGCACAACTCAAAACTGAAAAAATAAAAGCACTTACTGCTTTTAAGTGGCTAATTATGTCTAATTTATATGTAAGTAAGTTAATACGTTAGTAAGGACTACTACAGTAAGCAATAAGGACTAGACATGGATAATACAAGGATTATATACCTTATATCTATAGTAATATATACACACGTACCGAGGTTGGAGAGTTAGGCTGACTTCCAAAACGTCCATTGCTTTGCATACGTACAAAATATTGGCAATGTATACTGTTCCAAAACGCATCTGAAAAGTTATCCAAACGCATCGCCAGAGTAATCATCGCATCAGAAGTGGCAACGCGCTTTAAATAAAAACCACTCGCTTTTTGAATAAACGTTATAAATGGTTTATTTAACAACTAAATGATGTACATATATACGGAATGAAAATATATGTTAATTACGCCCGGGATTCTGTGGCGGCCGTTTTCCCGTGTGCGCTCGGTTAGACTTTTGATATCGAAGTCCTTTTCCTTTCTCCACTTTCTTTTTGCCATAACCATAAAGTGGTGCAAAGGTGCAGAGAGGCCATTAGGGTGCTCCTTCATTACAATGGGGCGATTGTACACACCAAATATAGTTTCTTGCGCTATTACATTATCTTGTATTTTTCGGACTCCGGGTCGATGAACGTGTGGAAGTATGCCGCTTCCAATAACCAGATCTATGGGTGCTGGTTTGCTGAAATGGGGGTCAGCTAGTTCATGGGCATTGAACTGTTTAATAAATTCGTGACATACGGGGGAAGTCGCTAAGTGCTCCGTTAACTGCTTGAGTATGACAGCTTTTGTATTTATCTTCCGCTTTGCCTTGCGGGTAGTTATATTTAGTTCGCATGCATTCTTAGTGCGTTTTGAGTTACATCCACCAATATGAAATACTTCCAACTGTGAATGTTAGGTTGGGAGCTTCAACCTTTTTTTGAGCTGCTGACGAAATAGAGGTTCTTTGCGTTCGCGTACGCAAAAAACTTGCAAAGTAGGGGAAATTGAGAGAGCAAAGTGACATTTCATTTTGAGGGGAAGCTGTTGGTTTCTGCTGGAAAAATTTTTGACAACAGCAATTTGCCAACAGGAAAACAGCTGATCAAAAACAGCTGGTTGGCATTTACGCAAATCACAAAATTGAATTTGATGGTTTGGAAGTTAAAAATTACAAAATGCGACTAATTAAACTTGTAAGAAATAAGTAGTTATATGTTTAATCAATAAACTGTTTCAGTATAACACTTTGTGATAACTTTAGGTACGTTTTAAATTTTACACTTTTGAATGTAAACAAAAATTATATCAGCTGTTCGTCTAACTTGCAAGTTTCTGCAAATTTTCTGTTCGCGTACTATTTTGGATATTTCTCTCTTGTGAGCGAACAGATGACATTTCGCCGGAATTTGGCAGTTGGTTGGTTTCTGCTGGAGATTTTACACGAACGCACCTAATATGCGCGGAGTTTGAGTAGGTGGGTTGCTTATCCGACTTGTAGCTTGATAACTCTTGGGGCAATCTTTGGTGATCGTATGCGCTGTGCTGTGTTGCGTTATTACTTTTTGAGTTTGCGTATAGGTTGGGTGGTGATCATAGGGGATCACTTGCTCTTTACTTGGTGGGTCTGTGATGTTTTGGGTATGACCACAGCTTTCATTTATTTTTCGATTGTGGGTGATCGATTTATTAATATTTTCTTTTATGCTAGCCTTTTTGGAATGGCCTTTATTTGAATGAACATGAAGTAACGAGATACGTCTTTTCAGACAATACATGCATTTAAATGGTGACTTGCACTCTGCCACGGTATGATTGAAGGCGAGGCAATTTCGGCATAATTTATTAGCTTTAACAAATTTTATGCGCCTTTATTTCGTGAATGTTTTAAACATTGGACACTTTTTCATAGGATGTTGGGTGTTATATAAATAACAGGAAAACACCATGTTGGAATTGGTTGGTAAAGTCTTTATCTTATTTTGAGCTTTCATTAGATCAGATCTTTGGGTAATTTAGATACGCATATATGTATGAGGATGGGGTCCCAGCTGTCTGTCCAAACCTTTTGAGTATTTAAAACGGACAGACATGTTTTTATTTTACTTTGGAGATTAATAATTTGTTTACTATCTTCTTCGTGAATACTAGGAAGATTCATTAAACCTTGGATTTGGTTGTCCACTAATATGCGTTTATTTTCGAAACGCTCGCTTAATTCTTGCCATGCCAGGTCAAAATTCTCGTCGCTAAGAGGGAATTGCTTGACGATTTGACCGGCTTGTCCTATTGTTTTATACCGGAGATGGTATAACTTTTAAGCGGATGTTAATTGGGGGTGGTTTATGTAGACGGATGTAAACATATCTCGGAAAGATTGCCATTCTTCATAACCACCGTGGAAAATCTCTGTGTCACATGGCGGGAGTTGCAGATACATGTGAGGATTTTCATCTGTGTGCAAATTCTGTGCTTCTCGGGAGTGAGAGCTTGAGGGACTTATAGCTCGGATAAATTTCAGTTGATCTAAGATCTTCGCTTTAGTCATTTCATAAGTATCAATATTAAATTGATACTTGCCTTCCGCCAACGCCAAAAAATCATTTGGAAGGTCTTCATCATCCTTCTGGAAAATTGAGTAATATGCGGCTTGTAACCGCGCCCAGAGATTGTCAATAGTTTTTTCTTTTATTTCGAGGGCCGACTCTGTTCGAGGACTCTCTATGGGAGAAGAGGTGAGTCTGGCACAATATCTCATGAAGCCATAATTTTCTATGTTAAATTTTTGCTTCGGTAGAAGTCTGGAAATAATTTAGGAGCTTTGTTCAGTTCGCATATTCAATATTTGAAAATTAATTTGTACGTAAGTAATCCAGTACGTAAAGGAGACTCTTGGTTGAGCAATTTGTTGTTTATGGTGTTTTTGTGGACTGTATGTAAATTTGTGACCAGTCAATTTTACAACTGGGATGTATTTTGTATTTTCGTTTTATATGTATTTTTATATATGTATATCTTTTTTTTGTGGTTTGGGGGTGTTTTTGGAAATATAAATTTTTGGGAGTTCGTAAATCTGCAGCTGGGGTATTATCACCAAATTTACTGCTGGGCTCACTTGCTTAATATGTGTATGTTTATATATCAGCGATGGGCAGATAGAGCTTTTACTCTGCACGCGCTTATACAAAATGTATATAAAGCTTAAAAGAGCTTTGCCCGCGGGCAAGGCAATGCCCATCACCGATATATATACATACATATGTATGTACATATCTATAAGGGCAGCGCAATTGTTTCGCTGCGTTTTGAAAATGCATACGTTTGTAAGCATGGTTATATATGCGAACGATTATGTGAAAACTTCAGAAAAACAAAGTTCTTTAAATGACCAAATAATAGTTAGTACTGCTGGGAGCGCAGAATCTATATGTATGTATGTATGTGCCTATGATTGTGCAGTTACAGTATACTGATAGCTGCACTGCTTGTGGGGGCGAAGAATAGGCGCAAAACGTAGGCCAAAAATATTTGTTGGAGGTGAGAATATATATGTAACAGCTGTGCTTTGGAATGCACGCTAATTTGGTTAGGGCATGCGCTTTGTAATTATGCGCAAATAGATCGGGTACATTTAAGTAGGTAGGCAAAGGGATCACCATGCATGTATGTATGTACGTATGTTTGTGCGTATGTATATTTAGGCGCTCACTGGGTAAGCTGAGCTAAGTTGATATTTTTTATTTCTGACAATAGAGCTTGCTTTTTGTTATTTTCTTTTTATTTTTGCAATGTAAAAAAATATACATGCATGTACATGTGTATAGATATATGTATGTTGTAACGAAGCGTTTTTGTTGCCCCGACGCTTCTTCTACAATGCTAACTAATTAATTAAAACTGGTTATTTTGGTTGGAAATTTTGAGTTCCCATCTTCAATGCTTATCTTGTTGATTCATTTTTGAAATTTCAAGGTGCAAATTTAGGAAACTGAATCTGAACATTTGAAATCTTTGCAGTTGCAATTGGTTTTCTTGGTTTGAATTTAGAAGTTTAGGTTTTGAACTCGTTGTCTTAAACTTTAGATTTTGAAATCGTTTAATTGTTCTAAACATTCCTTTTACATTGAGCAAGTCTAATCCCAGACTGTTTATACATTTTATATTTTTTTTTGAATTTTAATTTTAATTTTAATTGAAAATTTAGCAATATTGAATTCTGATTTTTTTTATTTTTCCTGTTTTTTTTTGTTTTGAATTACAAATTAATTATTTTTATACGTTTTTTTTTGAACTTAGCAGTTCTTTGTTGAATTTTTGGAATCTAGAAATAGGCGGTTTAAAAAAAAAAAAAACAACTCGGTCTTTATTATTTTTATTGAATTAATGTATCTACCCCTTTGAACTTTCCTCTTAGAATTATTTGCTTCCTTTTACTTATAATTTTTGCACATTCCTTTGATTTGATCTGAATTTGTACCGAGCGTTTGGTTAGGCTATTTGGATTATCATTACCATTATTTTTTTTATTGCATTTTTGGAGTTTTTTGTGGGAGTTTTAAATTTCGAAACAAGCGGCACCTTGTGTTTCAAGTTCGCCGTTTGAGTCGCCCTAACCTGTGGGTGGATTTTTGATATTCGATTTGAGGAATTTTGGGTTCTTAGTGATAGATTTTCCTTTTTTTTGTTAATTTTTATTTGGAAATTCCTGCGTTCACCCGCTTCAAACCTTCGGTTTCGTTTGTAAACGAGACTTGAATTTTCTTTTGCATTTATTTCTGGATTTGTAGTTTGCATAATTCGGAGGTCAGTTTGTTATTACTCGTACTGCTTGTGCACTGTTTGGTGAATGGAAGATCGGGAAGCTGAAGAACGAGTGGTAGACGATAGCGTAGTAGTAGGAGGACTTGGATTGCTCGATTCGAATCGCAGGGTAACGCGGAGTGTAGCAAGGGCTCTTGAGAACCAGGTGGTTGGTTCCATTTTTACACAGATTGATACCGGTATTCCACATCCGGTGGATTTTGTACCTACGGACAATTTGAATAGGTGTGCTGCGAGAGTGTTTGGAACGGCCAGCCAGAAGTCACGCCAGCCCAACTTTAGGGTGACCGATCAACGTTCCTTAAACGCGACCGACGACAGTTTAACGTTTTCTCGAAAAATAGAAGAGCTCTTCCAAATGTCAGAAGAGGAACAGTCAGGTGGAAGCATGCAGCCAGATAAGCAGAAGCCAGGAGGCGTGGAGTCTCAAGGGGGTGGGCCTAGTTCTGCGGCCATCAATGTCGAGCAGCTGAGCCGAATGATGGCGATGATGGCGCAACAAAATGACATGATGGCAGAATGCATGAATGAGGTCCGCCACATGCGAGACAACGTCCTGAGCCTCAATAACCGGGTAGCAAAAGTGGAGATCTCCGTAAGAGCATCGGAAAACCGGCCAACTATGGCACCAACGCCCGAAACTGCCAGGAATAGAAACTCTGGATCAGACCGACAGGGATCAGGTGAAGGATCCGGTGATGGTGGCGATTCTCGATTTAAGAATGAAGCAAAAAATTGGAAGAAGATAGATTTGGAAAAGTGGCATATAAAGTTTGACGGTTCATCTAAAGGTATAACGGTGCAGAGTTTCCCTTTCCGCGTAGAAAAAATGAGGGCTCAGTATGATATCTCCCACTACCAGCTTTTTACAGACTTTCATTGCCTGGTCACCGGTAACGCCTTGAAGTGGTACTGGCAAGTGCTCGAGGACCATGCCGACGATCCGGATTCCGGATACCTCGAGCTCAAAGCGGAGTTGTTGGGCCACTTCAGGACTGCCGAGCCGGACTGTGAGGTTATCCGAGAAATTATGGAAAGGAAGCAGACCCCGCAGGAAACCTTCGAGGAGTTTTATGGCGACGTACATAATTTGACCTTCCGTCGTAAGAAAAAGATCCTGGAGCATGAGTTAGTAGGCATCATTAGAGGGAATCTGAAGCCAAATTTAGCAAATTTAACTTTCGGAATGCAAGCGAGCTGAGAAAGTTATTAAAGAAAATAAGAACAGACCGAGAGCAGTAAATGAGTTGGAATGCACAGCAGATGAAAAGGTAGATGGGAAGGTAGAATATAAGAATGTGGAAGCGATAGATAGGGCTCAGTGTAGTAAATCTCAAGAGGCAGTGTCACTTCCTAAAAAGGTGTCCTCGTCCGCAAATGCCAAAGTCCAAAATCCTGCTATCCATTCGTTTTGTCCGTCCCCTTTTCACCTTATGTTATGTTTTTCGTGTGGCTTACCGGTCGACCACTATGTCAAAAACCCACTTGACGCCCAGAAGGAAGGTAAATGTAAGTCTAAGTTCCACAATATGATTTGTTTTGCGGGTGGTAGTGATTCGTCCTTTTGTGTGTACAAGCCAAACCCGGGAAACCCGAAGCTGGCGGAGATCACCGGGAACTCCTGCCAGCAGAAGGACCTCCCGAATACAACCCAGTGAGTATTTTAAAGAGAGAGATCGGTAGTGAAGTGCTTAAGGATAGGTTAGGAATAGTAAGGGATAAGGAAAGTAAGAGTCTACACCAGAGAAAATTGGAGTACGAAAAGGCACGTAGGCGTATCTTTTGCGAAGAGGTGACTAAGAAGGAAAGGAGTAGGAACTTTGAGAAGATAAGGAAAATGGGAGAAAAAAATATAATCTGAAGAGAATTTGTAGGACGATTACTTCGACAATAGTTACGCTAAAAGGTGATAACCGATTCTTCGCGAAGACAAAAATAGGTGCTCATGACGTATTAGCACTTTTGGACTCAGGTGCAGGTGCCAGCTGCTTGGGCAAGAATGCGGAAAAGCTCCTCGAAGGCAAGGAAAGCCTCAACACCGATCAAGGGCCAGGGTATCCGGACACTGCCTGTCATCTGGGATGACAATGCGCGAGACCTCCAATTTTTGATTGTTCCGGGGCTTCAACAGGAAGTATATCTTGGCGTCGACTTCTGACAGGCATTTGGCATGAGTGTTGTTAGCAAGGGTGTAAGTGCGAATGTGAATGGTTCTGTTGTTGCGGAGCTTGTGCCCGCCGAGGGTGACTTAACTTTTGATGCAGTTCAACATGATCTGACCTATGACCAAAGCTTGGCGCTAGAACAGGTAAAGGCACAATTTCCCTCCTTTGCTGTGCTAGGATTAGGCAAAACTGATAAAGAGGAGCATGTCATTGAAATTACGAATGAAAACCTCCCAGTGAAACAAAGGCACTACCCTATCTCGCCCGCAGTCCAAAAACATGTTTACGCAGAGTTAGACAGAATGCTGGAAATGGGCGTGATAGAAGAAAGTAGTAGTAGTTGGAATTCTCCAGTTTCGCTTGTCATAAAAGGTAGAAATAATAGACTTTGCTTAGATGACATGATGAAAAATAAATGAGAGAACGGCCAAAGATGCCTACCCACTTCCTCACATCGATGGCATCTTAAGTAGATTACAGAATACTCGATTTATTTCTGCCGTCGATTTGAAGGACGCATTCTGGCAGATACCCTTGGAGAGGAAGTCTAGAGAGAAAACCGCATTCACAGTGCCTGGGGGACCTCTTTATCACTTCAAAGTCATGCCTTTCGGGTTATGCAATGCTGCTCAAAGCATGTGTAGACTGATGGACAAGGTTATACCCGCTTCTTTACGTGAGTCCGTGTTCGTGTATTTAGAGGATTTGCTAGTTTGTTCTGAAGATTTTTCGTCCCACTTGTCTTTGTTAGAGAAAGTATCTAGGTGTCTTCGTGAAGCTAAATTGACTATAAACGTTGAAAAGAGTAAGTTTTGCTTTAAAGAAGTGAGGTATCTCGGGTATGTTGTTGGGAACGGGTGTATTCGCACAGATGCAAACAAAATAGCGGCAGTTAGAGACTTCCCGGAACCACGGAACCAGAAGCAGCTCCGGCGGTTCCTAGGGATGTCAGGGTGGTACCGTAGATTCATTCAGGACTACGCGACCATTGCAGCCCCGCTGCACGACTCCCTCACTAAAGATAAAATAAAGAAGTTTACGACGACTGACGAAGCTAGAATGGCCTTTGAGCGATTAAAACAGAGCTTAATATCGGCACCAGTTCTGACGCACCCCGACTTCAACCGACATTTCTATATTCAATGCAACGCGTCGACTGACGGTGTGGGTGGGGTACTCTTCCAGTTGGATGACGAAGCTACCGAGCGCCCAATAGCCTATATCTCGGCGAAATTAAATAAGGCGCAACGAAATTACAGCATCACCGAATTGGAATGCTACGCGGCGGTGCTTAGTGTAAAAAGATTTAGGCCATATGTTGAGGGACTACCCTTTACGGTAATCACTGACCACGCCAGTCTGAAATGGTTGATGAACCAGAAAGACCTGTCTGGCAGACTCGCGAGGTGGAGCTTGAAGCTGCAAAGCCTTAATTTTGATATACAACACCGGAAGGGGTCCCAAAACATCGTACCAGACACATTGTCTCGCGCCGACATGGAAGAAATAACCATGAATAGCCGAATGTTAGAGGTGTGTCTCGATTCGCCATTCTTCAAAACAGAAGAGTACGAAGCACTGAAAAAGACCATGACAGACAACGGAGACAAGTTACCCGAGCTAACTATATCGGACGGACACAATTTAAGTAAGGGGATAAATTTCAGCAGGACCACGCCTGGAAACTCTGGGTTCCGACGGAGTTGCGTCGTGGGCTAGTGGAATCCTCGCATGATTCACCTTCTGCGGGTCATGGAGGTGTTCACAAAACGCTGTGCCGGATCCGAGAAAAATATTATTGGCTGGGAATGGTAACCGATGTGCAAAATTATATAAAAAAATGTGATATTTGTAAAGGCAGCAAAACCCAAAATGCATTTCACAGGCCTCTGATGGAAAAACAGCATATTACCGAAAGACCTTTTCAGCGTTTATTTATTGATTTTATGGGTCCATACCCGCGTACGTGTAGTGGTAATGTCTTTGTGTTTGTGTGTTTGGATCATTTTACGAAATTTGTGTTCTTGAAACCGATGCGAAGTGCCACTTCAGCCAATGTAATCAAGTTCCTTGAAGACGAAGTGTTCCATATCTTTGCCGTTCCCGAATATGTGCATTCCGACAACGGGAAGCAGTTTGTTTCAGAAATGTTCAGTGCATTCTTGGAAAAGTACGGAACCAATCACATTAGGACGGCTTTTTATTCTCCCCAAGGCAACGCCACGGAAAGGGTAAATCGCTCAGTACTGCATGAAAACCAAAGAAACTGGGACAAACACATCAGTGATGCTGCTTTCGCCCTGCGCAGCGTGGTGCACACAGCAATTAATAGTTCCCCGTACCGTGCCCTCTTCGGTATGCCAATGATACAGCATGCTGCATCATATGAGCTGTATCGAAGACTGGGTACGGTTGGGGAGGCAGATTGCGAGGTCGAAGCAGTAGCGGATAAAGCCCAGTTAATGAGAGACAAAATAATGAAGGAATTGAAGTTGGCCTATGAGAGGAGTAAGAAAACATTACACTAGAAGCAGGGCAGTTAAATTTCAGATTGGACAAGTGGTATACCGCCGCAATTTTAAGCAAAGCTCACAAATGGAAAATTATAACGCTAAACTAGGTCCAAAGCAAATTAAATGCGTGGTGCTTAGAACAATCGGAAACTCCATGTGTGGACTAGGTGTCACCAGTGGGAAAAGAAACCCCTATTGGGTATACCATGCTAAAGATATTTTCGTAGCATAGATTTATTGCTAACGGTATAACATGTTGTAGTACTGTGTGTGTGTGTATGTTAATATGGGTGTGTAAATTTGTGTTTGGTCTATTCTATCTATTAAGTACCTGATTATTTCTTCCTTTTTTTATTGGCTTCTTTTATTAATTAATTCATTTCATTACTTATTCATTTATTTAAATATTTACTTATTTGACCATTTACTCGTTTTTACTACTTGACCTCATGTGCATGAACTCTGTGATATTTATTTATATACGTACATATTTATTTATTCAGTTTTTTTACTTGACTATGCTGCATTTAACTCTGTGATATTTATTTTATTTTTTTGTCATACATTTATTTATTGGTTTATATATTTATTTATTTATTTACTTATTAATTTACGGATGCGTATACTTACCCAGGTCTCGACCTTTCTTTTTGTACGATGTTTATTATTTTACTATTGACTCCTGGTATAAGAACCCAACAGCTGTGATATAGGATAAGTATCTCATTCGGTGGTATAGTGACTTTTAGAAGTTGTGAGTAGAAATGTGACCGTGAATAGCTAGACTAGAATATAGTGACAATCGGCAGCAAATAATCTGAAGCCCGGCTCTAGGTCGTGGGTCGAAGCCACACGTTGGCGATACGAAACCCGTGTTTTAAATTTCTTTTTACGCACACGCTCCATGTGACAGGCACCATCGGCGGGTGCGAGCCTGTAACACAGCTTTCACTTGGCATGAATGTGTAAGCATGCATGGGTGCGTAGGTACCGGAGGTGGAATTATCTATGTATGTGTAAATTCGATGTTCGTTTATACACCACTCAGCGGTAGAGCCAAAGGTTTGAAGCTCCGCTAGCCCTGCAGATAGGTAATGCAGTTTTAGCGTATGTGTGGGTGTATCTAGAAGTTGAGTACTTTCGCTTCGGAAAATAGCGGCCTAACGGAGGCGGAGTGACTTCTTTGGCCTGATTAGCCTTAATAAAGGAGAGCGGATGGATCGAATCAGTTAGTCGAGCAGAAACTATGGTGCAGATTCAGTGTCAAACGGTCGTGAAAATTATAATTGGTAAAGCAAAGCGTGGGTGAAATTTCTAGTTTATAATAACAAAAAAAAAAATAAATAAAAATAAAAAAACTGTTAGTGTGCGAAAGTTTTACGCGGATTTGAACCGGTTAGGTGCAACAAGCGGAATTTACCGGGATACCGTCGTCTGCACGGGCCACCAAACCCGTTGAAATAAAATACGGATATTGAGTTGCGTATATACATATATATTTTTCTTATTTAGTTTTTTTATAAAGAAACAAAATTGTTTGGTAATAAAGTAGAAAAAAAAGTGAGCAACTGAGGGCTATGTACGTAGTGGCTTCTGTACCGACCCACAAGCTTGTGTTAATATGTATGTATATAGATGTACACGGGTGCATATAAAAAGAAAAAAAGGGGATTTTTTTGGTGATATTCGAGATTTATTTGATAATCTATCCTGGCGCAAGAATTCAGTGAATGATGTAGTGGCGCTAGTCACTAAGTTACAGATAATTAAATCTAATGACTAAAGATAATAGCCCTCAGTGATAGTTTCACACAAAGTCATGGGGATAAAACTTTTTAAATGCTTTACGAATCGAAAGTTGCATGAAAGTGCCCTATTGTAAAGCCGATGCAGTTAGTTATGGCTTCCTCTAGAGAAAATCATTGTACTAAGTAGTTTTTTATGTGTTTTTAGGTCGCCAGTACTAAGACAAAAGGACCTCGTAAGAAAAGAATCAACATACAATACCAACAACAGCGTCATACTGCAACGAGTCACATCACACCACTACTGACCTGACACAACATAAGAAAAAGGTAGTAGCCCACGCACACATACGCACCTGCACGTACATACCCTCAACTTACAACACGGGTGAGCGGCAAGTAAAGTACACTCACACTGGTACAAACGAAGAAAGCGAGAAGTAAATAGACCACCACCACTAGACTACGATCAGCTGTGCGGATATATACATAAGCACCTGGCCCGGTCATCGGCCGCTGCACAAAAGTAGCATATACTACAAAAAGGCAGCTGTCAAAGGAGCAACAACAACAACATCGTTCTGCGAACTGGAAGTGGAACTTACCATAGCGAGAGAGAGCGGGCTGAATTGGCTGGAGTGGATCCACGCAGAACTACTAACATCCATACATCAGCGAGCGGTCAGCAGAGGCGTGACTGCACAGCGTGCGCCGGCGAACAGCCTACCACCGACAACCAGCAGCGCAGCCTAAGTTTAGTCTATCTGTCGAGTTTTTTTGAGTTTTTTTTTAATTTACTTTTTTTATTACACTTTTTTTAAACTTAAAATTCCGTGCTTGTAAGTTAGCATTCCCATTTTTTTTGCTCTCAAGCTACGAGTTGTTCGGTTACACCTGGCTGTTATTCGTTGTATTATCTTTAAGCCGCGTGGGTAGGATATTTGTTTGTGTTTACTCGCGTTCGTTGCTTATATACTTAAATTTTCGTTTCGTTTAGTTTTTCTTTTTTTCTTTTAGACCGCGTTTTTTTTTTTGTTTCACTTTTTATTCATGGCGGTGAATGCATTTGCCGTTTAGCTTTATTAAGCGCGGCATCTTTGATGCTGTTTGGTTGAACAAAGTAAGAGTTTTTAGCGGAAGGAAATTGCGACTCGCTTGCTGCCCGCAAACGCAAGCGAGTGATCGGTAGACTAAACAGCAACGGGCTCCGCACCGCGGCTGTCACTAATGTATGTATGTTAAAATATATGTATATTGCTTTCCAGCCATCCAACGTCCTCTCTGCATGTGGGTACCTTCGCGGGACTGGTAAGGTGAGTGAAGAGAAACATTTTTTTTCTATACATACACATATATATACGTACACACATAAATAGACTTAAGTATTAATTTTGTTTTGATATCGATCTTCGCTTTTGCTATTCATTCGCGGTTTTGTTATCATATGCACGCATATTTATGTACATCCATCCTTGTATGTATATACATATGTACAACCTAAAGAAATAAAAGAGGTATTCACGCAGTAAGCCGTTCCCCTGAAAAAGAAAGGTATGGGGGTAACACCGAGGACTAGTGAAATTTTGTCTCATCCTTCAATTTTTTCATTTTTTATTTTGCCTAGGTACGCATACACATAATTTACTTATTTATCTACCAATTTTTGTATACCATTTAAATGCTTCGTTAATATTGAATATCAGTTTTCCACAGTTCTTTTGTTGAATGAATTGAACTAGTCTTGTAACTGAATTTATTTAATTTTAATTTAATTTAATGATTGTATCATTCGTTTTGATTTTGGTTTCCCTGAAGTAGTAGGTTAGTTGAATAGAGATATTTATGAATGCATATTGTAAAATGAAGTAGGAACAAAAACTGATGAATATCTTACCAATATTTTTAAATAGTTGAAAGGGTAGTGATATAAAGAAAATGCAGTGGTGAATTCGTTGAGTTTGGTGTGTGGGTTAAACTTGGGCTTAGAAGGGGACGTGAGGGTGCCGACTGATTGACTGGACAGAGAGAGGACAGATGGACTACTAGACAGACGGATATGTCAGACTAAGGGGGCGTTGCATCAACGTTGGGAGTCGGCGCAACACCCATGGCTGCACAAGCAAGAAACGCAGAGGGGTTGGGACGACTCCATCTGACAGGACGGGCCTCCTTCTTTCGATTTCACTACTGACGCCGCTGAGTGGCGCGCTGCTAACGTCTATAAGTGCTGTTCTGGCCACGTCGGTATGCAGCGCTCTTGCAATGTGGGTTGCGCTCTAGTCGCGCCAATGAGCGTTCTGATGACGCCGGTGATTATTGCTCCGGTGACGTCGGTATGTAGCGCTCTCGCAATGTCGGAGAGTAGCGCTCTGGTCGTGCCGGTGAGTGGCGCTCTAACAACGCTGGTGGGTAGCGCTCTGGTGACGCCGGTATGTGGCGCTATCGCAATGTTGGATAGTAGCGCTCGGGTCGTGCCGGTGAGTGGTGCTCAGTCGATGACGTCGATGGCCAGTGGCGCTCTTGGTCGCACTGATAAGACGCGCTCTAGTTGTCGGCGAACGAGCGGGTGTCATCCGTGCGCGGCTCACGGTAGGCTGTGGCGAGTGGTGGATCAAAGCCGATTTCAAGCTCGAAAGAGTGAGGTTCAGTCCGTATCCCCCCCTCGCTCAGATCTATGGCTTTCTACTTCCGAATGGTGGATGTCTTGTGGTGGTTCGAGCCGACGCAAAAGCAATCCCCCCAGTCAGTTGTAGGCGTTCGACCGCGACCACAGCTCCGTGCGGACTGACTGTTGAGCGGCTGTGTTCTATCTTTAATAGGCTGCGTGCTTGATGTTGCGTGGTCGTGAAGCTACAAGTTTCTGTGTGATGTTGCGTTGTCATGGCAGCGAAGATGCTGCTGGGTGTTGCTATGACTTGTTACGTGGCTGGCTGCTTTGGCTTGTGTTGCTGTGGTTTAATGTGTGGCTGGTTGTTTTGATGGCGGGTATTTGTGTGCGCCAAATGTCTCAGGGATATTTGGTCCTCACACTCCCCCCCACTTCGGTGATCTTGGTCCCTCTTGATTGGCCGAATGTGCGCTCTCCACCGATGTAGGACGATCGTATAATTTTCGGAGCGGAACTTCATATCTCGTTGAGCTCCCTTGCGCGCGACTGTCGTGTGTGCGGCGGCTACCGGTGTGGTAGACGTAGACGCGTGCAATGGCTTCCGTATGGGCTTCGGATGCTTGTTTCCTTGCTTGTGCGTAAGTACCGTGTGCGGAGACGGAGTGTGCCGTGGCAGCGCGTGTCGCGTCGACTGCGGCGTATGCGTTGACCACACGTATGGCTGCAGCGCGCCACGCGGCGGCAGTGTGTGATTTTCCTAAGACTTTTACTTGACACGCCGTTCGGTGAACTACTGCTGGGTGTTACCAGCGGTCCGGTACCCTCTGTGATGCGCGCTACGGTATGCGTCGCTAAGGCATGCTGTGTAGGTATTTTGGTTAGTACGATATGGTGGCAGCCACAGGAAATCGTCGTCGCAATGCTGCCTAGCGCGTCCAGACCAAGTATGACATCATCAACTGCGCCGGGCATGACATTCAGTACCGCGTGGTGGTATGACTTTCCGATGTGAACTCAGCTCTAACGGCTTCAAAAATCCTGCTGATGGTGCCATTGGCCATGGATACCTCGATGTCCACGGTTATCTTCTCCTCGTTCCCAGAGCTTAACATGCGTTCCGCTAAGTTGGCTGACACGAAACTTATCGAGGCGCCTGTGTCGAAGACGGCCTCCGCCAATTCCCCGCCAAGCTGTATTGGGGCGTAGATTCGGCCATGTTCTTGACGCATGGTTGCGAATTCGCCGGGTTTTGTCCATGGTGGGGCTGCCCGGTCGCAAAATAGCTTTCGCGCGTTACGGCATCTCCTAGCGTTATGTCCTTCTTGACCACACCTTCTGCATACGTTGCTTGGGTTAGACTGGGTCGTGGGTCGTTGGTGGTGCTGTAGGTTCCTCGCTGCCTTGTGCGGTGGAACTGGACACCGTTGGGCCGAACGCTCCGATGGATGTTGATGAGGTGATCTGTCCGACCGTGTAGGCGGCGCTTCAGGGTAATTTCCTACAACGTGACTCGCGACTTCACGTCGGGGCGCTTCTGACATTCGGCGTTGGTTTTCGAGAATGCCCTCGTATTCTTCAGCGAGTGAATAATCGGGGTGACTGTTCTGAAAGATCCTTTCCAATTGTTGCTCCCTGCTGCACCTGGCACGGCGCATCAAGCTCTGTATCGCGAGCACGTAGTCCTTGTACTTTTGCCGTGCGTGCTGTCTTTGCTGCCGTATGTCATCCTCTAGGCGCTCGAAATACCGTTTCGGTAGGAAGAAGCTTAGAAAATCTTGCTTGAAAGGGTCCCAGCTTTTCCAGTGCTCGTTGTTGTTGCAGTACCATTGGAGGGCCTTGTCGCGTAGTAGCTCGGGCATGATTTTTGGGAGTAGGTCTAGATCAAACGTGTATATCTCGGCCAGCTCCTCTAGGCGTTCCACGAAGTCTAGCGGGTCTCGTCCACCGTCGTAAGTTACTGACCACTTCCGTACCTGGTGAGCGCGATAGACACCAGATGCTCTTTGTATTCGTTATCCAGCCACAAGGTGTTCGCCGATTCCGTCATTTTACTCATTGTTATTTGGTGAAAAAATCCCTTTTGGCGCGTGTACGATCTACCGAGGGTCCCTGCTCGGGCGCCAATTGTAACGAAGCGTTTTTGTTGCCCCGACGCTTCTTCTACAATGCTGGAGTATACTCGCCATGTCCAGGGTTCGTTGCAATAAATTTGTAGTTTCGGGGCTATGGTAAATCGTACTTTATTATTTAAATTTCCTTAATTTCCATAGAACATATAACAAAGAAAAAGATCACGTTTGATTTGCTTGACCTTGGTTTGTCGGTCCAAACAGGAATCTTTATTTACGGTTGATGGATAGCTCGTTTCCAATGGATGGTGGCTGACTTACGTGTAATGATTTTGTATTACCGGCTTATGGTGACTCAATTTCTGTGAAATGAATAGTCCGGATTTGATGCTCACAACTTCTTTATTCTACGCAAGAACATGGCTGGGGTTTTGCCGGAAGGAATGTGACGGCACCTTTTGCCTCTATTAATTTCCACTGAGGGGTGAGTATCGACTCCCCGAATGTCGCCAGCTTTTAATACCAGTTCTTAATCCACTTTAATTACTTGGTTGTAATTCCGTTCTTGTAAGGGCTGATGAGTGTGGTTCGCTCCGTATCCAATTCCAAAAAAAAGAAGAAATATCTGTCTAGCCTCGTGGTATATCATCACCGATTCTTTTATCGTATATCAGTGTGGCCGTTTTCATAGTTTATACCGATATGATGGTTCGTGTCTTGAATAACTATTGGTTACGTACATTTATCTGGCAATGGCCCCCCTTTCGAAGTTTAGCTTTGACAGTTTTGTTATGTTTACATTTCTTATAATCGTTCTTATGTCTATTATTTGGGCAATAAAAATAATAGATCATTATCCCCCTCTCATCTTCAGCGACACGTTAACAAAAAAATGTGGAGCGTTTAGTAGGGATATGAGAATGGTGGTTCGAATGCGATTCACTGGCTGTGGTTTGATGGACGTTAGACCTTACATTGAAATCGTTCTACATGATCTTCATCAACCCCATCCTGACTCGTTCAGTTCGCCTCTGAGCGCATATGTATGTACACATGTTCCGTCTTTCCTATTTAGTTTCAGTACGCATTACGTAAGCTACGGTAGATGAAAGTCATTGGTAAATGATTTGGCTATGAACCTTTATTTGTTTGCTTTGATCGATTTAACAGCAATATACTGAGGATATAATATAACAAAACTATGGATATAACAAAACTAAACTTAATTAATTTATTCAGTAATTCATTTCATTTACAACGTAATGATTACTTCAATATCATTCTTCTTTTTTTTATTTTTTTATTTTTTTATTTTTTATGGGTTCTCCCGAATTCTCTTTCAGAAAGCGACGAAAGATTGGGTTGGCGCAAAGCATCTCTGCGACGAACGGGTTTCCCGGAACATACGGTTTCTGTCGGGGTGGTTTCGGTGGATGTTAAGAGTAGCCTGCGCCGTGGCAGATCGATGGTGCGGATGAATCGTACCGCGCGTGATGTGGTTGGTTGAACAGTGGAAGTGAGGACAGCGTAGACGGCCCCATGGTTGGAGTTCGAATGCTCCGGTCCCTATGGTGCAATTGCTGTTGGTACGTTTTCAACAGGTTCCTCGCATGCATGTCCACTTGGGTTAAGAGGATCACTAGAGTTGGGTCCCCTGTGGTCCTTGGTGTGTTGGGTTCGGTCTCGGATACCGGAGTTGCATTAACCCCCTGCTTTTCTTCGGTTTGTACGGCCACCGTCTTCATTTTCCCGCTTTGTGGTAGCATACCAGTCGAAATGCTAGGTCCCGGTTGACACCATTGTACACCCGCAAAGTTGCCTCGTAGTGAAATGGGTAGTATGGCGTACGGAAACCGACAATAAAGGCGGTGTTGTCGAACATGTTGCGTGGTACGCCTTTGGCCAGTGACGTCCTGAAGTCGCTGAAGCCGATTTGGTCAGGAGAACTGATACGTAGATAGCCGATTGCGGCACGGTGTGTCGGCTCGTCATGCCACTGGGCGAACAGGACGCGAATTTCCCCGCCAGTCGCTTGTGACTCGAATGGCGGTGCATAGACATCGAGGATCGAGGACCGAGGACTTCTCTACCCCACGCAACCGCAACCTTGGGAATCACGGCCAATGGGGGTTTTTGCGCTTTAGGGTCGACCTCGAGCGCGAATATCGGCAACGCGTCCTTGTGGTCCCACTGCCACTTGCTGGCCAACCTTCACATACGGCGGGAGTACCATTGTTCTGAAATGGCACTTGAGAGTTAGTTTGAGGATAACTGTGAATCGAAACGGGTGTGGATTTTTACTATGCACCATTACACACAACCAACCCCGTTACTACGTGTACCGCTTACCTCGTCTACTTATAGATATTTAGCGTGCGTAAACGTTTGTGACGGAGAAAATCCCAAGAAAAGGGGCGTCGGTTTTGCGTATTTACCTGAAGATGGCCCTTTCTGTTCGACTAGTGCCACTACCAAGTTATCGATATGCGATTTATCCGATTGTGGCGGATCGATTACGCTACGGATGCGTTTCGAGCCTAATGGGATATCACATTTGTTTTTGTTTGCTTAAGAAGCCAGGTACCCTGTAATAAGGCAGAATCAATGGAATATGGAGGCCCGCCATATATTCATCGAAATCCTTGAGAAGGCGAATGTACTGAATGAGTTAACGTGTTGTGATTAAATCGGCGGAATAATTGCCAAGCACTCGGTGTTTAGCATCGCTCAGTTCATATGAATTCGAACCAAGTTTCCGTGAAACATAAGCTCTAATTTTTGGTGGCGCTTGTTTTTGGGCATGGCCCTCTCCGGCCACGGACTGTTTAAGATTGGGAATGTACACTTCCGAGCCTATCTCGAAATGGCTTTCTCTTTTGCGGGTTAAGGCCCGTTGTGCGGTTTGTTGATATTGTTCGAACTGTTTGTCTCGAATTTCATCAGCCAGAACTTTACGCTGTTCCACATCCTGTGTATGGTATGGATTTACATCCAATAATAATTTATATTCGTTTCCATCTTTCACATATTCACGACCAGTGTGCAGAAAATATGGCGTGTAGCCCGTGTCTGAATGCAGTGAAGTGTTAATATCATGAATAACACGATAAAGATGGTTTTCCCAGGAGGAATGTTCAAAAAGGTCAGCCATGTGAGCACGTAATCCAAGTTTAATGCTTTTGTTTGTCGCCTCTACCTGATTGGCTTGTGGATGGTACAAAGGCGTTTTCATGTGTTTGATGTTATAATCGGCGCAAAGCTTTGCGAAAGTTTGACTGATGAATTGAGTACCATTATCTGATATAATGAGTTCGGGGCAGCCATTCACCGTGAATATATGTCGAAGATAATTGACTACGGATATGGCGTTTGCATTTTTCATGGGCTGCGCCCAGACATATCGCGAGTAACAGTCGATGGCTACGAAGATCCATTGGTTACGATTTTTAGACATGGGCCGCCTACCGATGAAGTCAATCGATAATTGCCTACCCGGTTGGTTTGGTTCTCTATATTCGCCGTGAGGTGTTTTGGTGCTCTCATTACTTGGTTTAATGCGGTGACATAGTTCACATTGCCGAACGTACTGGTAAACGGACTCATACATGTTTGGCCAGTAATAGCGTTGTGAGATACGTCTATAAGTTTTCCAAACACCCTGATGCGAATGTTGGTTATGATTTTCATCGAGGACTTTTGCTCTGTCAGAAGATGGTACACGAAGTGTCCACAGTGTAGTGTTAATATTATTTACTATTGTACTTTGTTCATTTTTGTACTTTGTTATTTTTGAAATTATTGAATTAAGTTCTTTTTCAATTTATGTAAATCAAAAAGAAAATTTTTGATTACTTCAGAATTTTTTCTTCTTTGAAATAAAAAAATACGTTAAATTAAAAATAAGTTTATATAAAAAAAAATTTCTTTAAAAATACATTTCTATAATTAAATATGCTACAATTGGCGATCCTGCCAGGAGAAATATAAGAAATTACATTAATTGTAGCGTATTTAATTATAGTATTATATTTTTAAAAAATTTTATTTTTATATAAACTTAATTTTAATTTAACGTATTTTAAATTTCAAAGAAGAAAAAATTCTGAAGTAATCAAAAATTTTCTTTTTGATTTACATAAATTGAAAAAGAACTTAATTCAATAATTTCAAAAATAACAAAGTACAAAAATGAACAAAGTACAATAGTAAATAGTATTAACACTACAATAACATTGTATGTATTATGTAAATCAAAAAGAAAATTTTTGATTACTTCAGAATTTTTTCTTCTTTGAAATTTAAAATACGTTAAATTAAAAATAAGTTTATATAAAAATAAAATTTTTTAAAAATACAATTCTATAATTAAATACGCTACAATTGGCGATCCTGCCAGGAGCAATATAAGAAATTACATTAAGATGATATATTGATTTTGTACACTTGGTTTGTTGCTCCGCGGTACTAGTCCACAGAAGATGAGATGTTACACCAAAATGTTGAAGGGCAATGCGTCGCAATAGTCAGCCGTGAAAAAGAGTAGCACCATTGCGAGCAGCTGGCATATTCCAACACGCACTACTACCACAACCGTTATCCCCACCACTTGAATCACAGCAGCCGCAACATCAGGAAGCAATATCCCCATTGCCTTTTGTTGAAGATCAGCAATCACAATTAGTAGAGCAACAACAGCAACAGCTTCTAACGCACCAATGCGCATTCAACGACACTAGCAAAATTGCCAATATCATTGATGCATCTGCATTAGAAGCAGTCACTGGAGAAGCTATTTTAAGTGCTGAAATTGCATCAACCAGTCAACAACAATCACATAACCAGCTGCAGCAGCGTTCTCAAGATCAAGAACAGCAACCGGAAAGTTTGAGCGGTGCTCAATGCTCCTCTTTGAGCGTAATAGGAGAAGTTCCAGCTGGTAGTAGCGCATTAACAGAACGAAACAAAACATCTCCAACATCACTGCCATTGCTGCTGCAGGAGGAAGAAGACGAAGAAGCGGACACAGGCAACGAGGCTAGAGCATCGAAGTCACCCGCAGCAGTAGCGGCATCAGCAGCGACCGCAGCAGTAGCGCTAACATCAACAACAATCTTAGTTTTACTGGTGAGCTGTATTGTATAACTTTAGCGCTAGTTTTGTTGAAAATAATTAAATACAGAGTTTAATTGTTATTTATTAAATATTACATATATAATATTTAATTTTTTAATTGTAAACTTCCCTTTTCTGAGGTCTTTTGATATTTGCTCAAATTCAAATAATCAAAATGTTTCGTTCACCACAACATGATACACATACATCTACACGAGATAATTTAAATGAAACTCTTATTGATTTACAAAATAGTACTTTTAACGAACAGTTAACAAATCCGTATGTCGATCGAAATAGTAATGAGATTTGTGCTACATCGGTCAAACTACCACAATTCTGGACAAGTTGTCCGGAAGCGTGGTTTATTCATGCGGAAATGCAGTTTAGTACCAAAAATATTACACAAGAAACAACAAAGTATGAACATACAATTACTGCACTTCCGCAAGAAGTTATAATAACGATTTTAGACTTTATTCAAAATCCGCCCGAAAATAATAAATTTACTGCACTTAAGAAAATTTTAATTGAAAGGCATTCATTAAGTGAGAATGCGAAATTAGACAAAATTTTATCGGATACTGAAATGGGTGATCGTAAGCCCTCGGAATTTTATCGGTCACTTGTACTGCTTTCGGGTTCCAATTTTAGTCAAGAAATTCTTAAGAAACTTTGGATGAGGAAGTTACCGAAGAACCTAAGCGTGATTTTAGCTAGTTCTAATTCAAGCAGTATTAGTGAATTGACGAAATTGGCTGATAATGTTTGGGAGATTATTAGCAAAAGCGAGATAGCTTCAGTTAATGATTTTCAAAATTCAAAAGGTGAAAATGCAGTCATGGCTAATTTGGTTAACACTACTTCTCTTATTTTTAAAAATTTTGAAAAACTTTCTTTGGAATTATGTGAAATGAGGAGGGAAATGAATCAAAATTATTCAAGGTCACGTTCAGTGAATAGGAATCGTTTTAGGAGCCCTTTTAGATATCGATCAAAATCACGCGACAATCCGAATTGGTTATGTAGATATCATTATAAATTTGGAAACAAGGCTAAAAAATGTGAACAACCATGTGCATTTTCGAAAAATAATAGTCCAACAAACTAAAGTCGTCCGTTGTTGCGGCGACAAACAACGGGAATTTGGACATTTCCACACGTCGCCTTTTTATATTTGATAAAACAAACAAACTAAATTTTTTAATTGATAGCGGAGCAGAAATTTCGGTACTTCCAGTTTCTAAATTTTCGAATACTAGGAAATCTTCAGATATAATTTTAACGGCAGCTAACGGCTCAACTATTTTTACATACGGGAAGAAACTTTTGAATATTAATTTGGGTTTAAGGCGTGAGTTCCTTTTTACATTTTTGATTGCTGATATTGCGAAGCCGATTATAGGAGCTGATTTTTTGTGTAAATATGGACTTCTTATTGATATTAAAAACAAGTGTTTAGTAGATCCGTTAACAAATCTATCAGTTAATACAATTTCGTACTTTTGCAATGTCCCTCTTCCAAAAATTTTTTCAGTAGATGATCAATATACAAAATTATTGAAGGAATTTCCTTCCCTTATTTCTGAGCCAGATTACTCAAAACCGGTTAAGCATACAACGGTTCACAGACTTGTCACTGAAGGAAACCTTCCTTTTTCTAAGCCAAGGCGCTTAGATCCTATCAAATTTAAAGTAGCTAAAACTGAATTCGATTTTTTGGTAAAAACAGGGATTTGTAGACCATCAAATTCATCCGTGGCATCTCCACTTCATTTAGTACCAAAGAAAGAAGTTAATGACTGGCGTCCTTGTGGTGATTTTAGAAGACTTAATAATGTGACTGTACCGGATCGTTATCCTTTGCCTCATATTCACGATTTTAATATGAACCTTAGGAATAAAAATATATTTTCAAAGTTAGATTTAGTTAGAGCGTAT